AGGTAAGCAAATGGCACGTCTCAGTGCGGAGCTGCGCCAAGCAGAGATGGCTGGCCTGCCTTCACTAAGCCGGCCTTCTCTGCCCCCACCCGAGAAAATGGAGGCAGCTCTGTTGTGGGTGCCTAGCCTGGTGTGGTAGGTGGGAGCCAGGTGGGCGGGGAGCAGTTGGGCTTCACCCCGCAAGTGGGGCTGGGCTGGGGGTGACTTACAGAGCTCGCAGAGGTGGGCCGGTCCGGCGCGTTTCACTCCATTTCTGCGCAGTTTTTTGCTGGCTTTCTTGGCCTNTCACAGCGCACAGCTCTCAGGATCGCGCTGTCTCCTGGCACGGCCGCTCCAGACCCGTCGCCATCTTAATCCCCTGACAGTTCTTTTTTTAAGCAGTTTAAATATATTATCCCATTGCCTTATGGCCTTAAGAGTTCTGCTGAGAAATCTGCTGATACTCTTACTGAGGATCCCTTGTACATGGATGAATTGCTTTCTCTTGCTACTTTAAGTGATACTATTTATAAATTTCAAATTACTTATTGCTATTATATAGACCTGTGATTGATTTTTGTAAATTGACCTTATATCCTATGGCTTTGTTAAACCTTCTTATTAGTTTTAGTAGTTATTTTGTAGATCCCTTGGAATTGTTTTATGTAGACAATCACCTTTTTTTTTTATCATGAATAGAATCAGTTTAATTTATTCCTTCACAATCAGTACAAATTTTTCTCTTGCCTTATTGTACGGACTAGGACCTCCAGTATAAACTTAAATTGGAGTGGTGAGAGCAGATATATTTTTCCTGATATTAAGGGGAAAGCAGTCAGTCTTTCATCATCAAATATTATGTTAACTGTGTTGGTTTTTTCTGTAGGTGCCCTTTATCAGGTAGAGAAAGTTTTCTTTAACTTAGTTTGAGAGTTTTTATCATGAATTGATGTACAATTTTTCAAATGCTTTTTCTGCATTTATTGAAACCAAATTGGTTTCCTTCTTTCATCTTTTGCTATGGTGAAGTACATTGACTGACTTTTGAATGTTCAACTTTCAAAAACATTCTCAGGATAAAGTTCATTTAGTCATGTTGAATTATTCTTTTTATATTTTGAAGGATTCAATTTGCTAAAATTTAATTGAGTTTTACCTCTGTTCATGAGGAATATTGGTCTGTAGTTTTCTTTTTTGTAATAGGTATCAGGGCAATGCTAATTTTATAAAAATCAGTTGAAAAATATCTGTGCCTCTTTTGTTTTCCATAAGTTTGTAGTCCTCTGGATCTGGAGTTTTTCTTGGTGGGGAGGTTTTTAAGTAAATAAAATTTCTTTAATATGTCTATTTAGGTTATCTGTTTCTTCTTGAATAAACTTTAGTAGTTTTTTTCAAGGAATTTATCCATTTTATCTAAGTCATAAAATTTATTGGACGTTTACAATATTTCCTTATTCTTTTAGTGTCTTAAGGATCTATGGCAACAACCCTTCTTTAATTTCTAATATTATTTATTTGTGTCTTCTCTTTCTCCCTCTCTGCCTCTCCCCTTGTCCCTTCCTCTTTCTCCCTCCCCCTCCATCCTGTCCATCCCCCTCCTTCTCTCTCCTTTTTGTCCATCTGGCTAGCAGTGTTTCAATTTTATTTATCTTTTCAAAGAACAAACTTTTGGTTTTATTGATTCTTATCAATTATTTTCTGTTCTTAATTTGTTTCTCTTTATAGTTTCCTTCTGTTTGCTTTGGGCTTAATTTGGTTTTCTCTTTCTAGTTTCTTAAGGTGGAATATTAGGCCATTGATTCAAGACTTTCTTCTTTTCTAATGTAATCATTTAATGCTATAAATTTCCTTCTAGGCACTCTACATCTCACAAGTTTTGACATTTTATGTTTTTATTTGCATTCAGTTAAAATTATTTTTGAATTTGCCTTGTGATTTACTTTTTGACTCATTGATATTTGGAATTGTGTTATTTAATTGCAAAATGTTTGGATCTTTCAGATCTATCTTTTTGTTATTGATTTCTGGTTTAATACCTTTGTGGCCAGAGAACATACTTCATATGTTTTAAATTTGTCAAGCTTTATTTTATGACCAAGAATGTGGTCTACAATGGTGAACATTCTGTGCATTTGACTATTTTGGGGTGGAGTATTCTATGCATTTCAGTTAGGTCAAGCTGGCTGATTGCATTGTTCAGGTCTTCTATATCTATACTGAATTTCGTTCTAAATTTTCTGTTTGAGAGAAGAATGTTTTTTTTTTTTTTTGTCTTTTTTCCGTGTCCGGCAACGGATCGCAACCCTCAGTGTTGCCCCCGTACCGGACCGGGGACCGGCAACGGGATCGCAAGCCTCAGTGTTGCTCCCGCGCCTCGCTCAGCCAGTGAGCGGGAGCCGGTCTGTATGTGGGATCCGAACCCTCGGACGGGAGCGCCGCCGCGCTTCCCAAGCAGCGCACTATCCAGTGTGCCACCGGGCCGGCCCGGGAGAAGAATGTTGATCTCCAACTATAATTGTGGATTTGTCTATTTATCCTTTTACTTCTATCAGTTTTTGATTCATGTAATTTTGATAGGTACATATGTATTTAGGATTGATGTCTTCTTGAATTCACTTATCATTATGTAATGTTCTTATTTATCTCTGGTAATATTCCTTGTTTTGAAGCATACTTTTTCTGATACTAATATAGTTATTGTAGCTTTATTTTGATTAGTGTTTGCATGGTACATGTTTTTCTATTCATTTACTTTTAACCTATTTGTGTCATCATATTGAAAGTGGGTTACTGAAAGATAGCATATGGTTGGGTCTTGCTAATTTAATCAATCTGATAATCCCTATCTTTTAATTGGGATGTCTAGATGATCTATATTTAATACAGTTATTTAAAAACTTGTCAGTTTTCTATTTGTATTTTTTTTCCATTTTTTCCTGCATGCTTTTGATTCTTTCCTTGTCTGTGTCACATCTACTGATGACTCCTTCAAATGAAATATTTACTCTTATATTATGGTTTTTATTTCTAGAATTCTATATGGCTTTTATAGTTTCCATCCCTCTGAAATTATCCATTTGTTCATGCATGTTGCCCACCTTTTTCACTAGTTCATCTAACATATCAATCATAGTCTGGTGATTTTACCATCTCTGAGCCTGGTTCTCTTGATTGCTTTGCTGCTTGATGGTTAGTTTTTGTTGCTTTTTAATTCCATTTTTGATTGAATGTCAGACATCTTATATAGAAAAGGAGAGACTGCGGTAAATAGCATTTGTATTGGGAAATGGGCATTACTTTTCTCATAGAGAGATATGTCTGCATGTTCTGTCTCTAGGGGGCTATCTCCTTGGATTTTAGGCTGCTTGAGTGCCCAGTGACTCCATATTTTTGATGGATTCGAGAAAAGTTGTAATTTTGTAGTTTGTCCAGTTTATGCTAATTTGTGGTATGGTTGTGACTTTTTTTTAGTTTTTACATCATAAGCAGCAGTGCAACTACGATATTTCTCTAATTTATTTTAGAGCAGAATAAAAAAATATTTCTACAATTTGGATTTATTTCCATTTTTGAGCCCATAGCTATTAGTATTTGAATAAGTGAGATATTCCTTATATTCCATCTGTGAAGGAAATCTATTTCCAATGTTGTAAACATTAATTGCATGTGAACTTACATACATTTAGTTTATTAACCTGAATTTTTCTACATAGGATTATTAGTTGAGGGGACTTTGTGAGGTTCACTGAAGAGAATGTTCATATGGGTATGAATCCTAGATGGGTAATCTTCGCCCATCAAAAAATAAGTTGAGTATATTCAAATATTCAGATACTCAAGATGTATCTTAAATTGATGCATCGAGATGTGTATTTTTGTATTTGTGCCTTGCAAACTCAGAAGGAATATAAAGAAAGGGCATCTGTTCAAACCTTAGCAAAGCTTCTTGGGCCCTGTTAGGGGCTTTCTTTACCTTCTGTGACCCTGAAGATTCCTAAGACTTCTCAGGCTGATGCGATGAAGGCTTTTTGTGTGCTGAAAGCCATTCTTTTGAAGTCCTTGAGCTACACTTTGTACACCATCCTTAAAGCTAAAGTAACTTGTCGTATATGCAATATGTGTGTCAACCGGTATATGTGCTTCCACTGTACACTCCCATTTTAGCATCTGGAGCTTTTATCAGGTTTTCAAGGATTCTCTGACTTCTCCAAAAAGGTTAAGTACTACTGCTGTAAATTCTGTGGCATATATGATCATATTAAACAGCCCCTGCTCTTAAGAAGCTTGAAATTTTGTCGATCGTACCCTATGACAACCGAATAAGGGGGCAGTATGGTGTGGGAGGGAAGAGTGTAGTCTCTGCAGTCAAACTTGGGTTTGAATCCTGCTTAACCCTTTTCTAGCTCTGTGATCTTGGTAAGCCACATAACTTATTTTTCAGTGTGTTATTATTAGGTTTAAATGAGAAAATGCCTATAAAATACATAGCAGATGCTCATTTGTTAGCTGTGCTGGATGAAGATAATGATAAAAATAATAGCTATTTATGTGACCAGAGGGGATTACTAAATTTTCTTTGTTTTTTCCAGTTTTTTAATTTAAAATTCTTGTAGTGTTAAAATATACATAACACAAAATTTGGCATTTCAACCATTTTAAAAGTGTATAATTCTGTAGTAGTAAGTATATTCGCAATGTTGTACAACCATCACCACTACCCATTTCCAGAACTTTTTCATGATCTCAAACAGATACTCTGTATCCACTAAACAATAACTCATTTCCCCCTTCCTCCCAGCTCTGGGTAGCCTCTATTTTATTTTCTGTCTTTATGAATTTGCCTGTTCTAGGTTCCTCATATAAGTGGAATCATATAATATTTGTCTTTCTGTTTTTGGCTTATTCTACTTAGTATAGTCCTTTATATTTTTTATTTATTTATTAAGCCTGATGCCACTTGTCTTCTCTATTTCACTGAGTTACTGTTTAAAATCAAATCATATGGTTAACACCTAACAGATACTGTATAAATCTAAGATAGTACATATAAAAACTGGTAAATATTATCTGAAAGCAGTGAATTGATTTGCTGTCTATATATGATTATAAATGAGTTTACTTTATAATTTAAAAAAATATTCCCATGTTACATCAAAATTCTAAGGGTATTCTAAAATCTAAAATCAGGAGTAAACATCATCTTATAAGGTAGTAATATTTTTTAGGTGACCTCTTGTGGAGTGTTTATTAAAATAATTTAAAATTCTGATTCAGTGTTTTATATACCTCGTTTGACTTGAAGAACTTTACTGCATTTCTTTCTCTTTTTAGGATTCTAATTCTCAGATGGATTTAAGCATTCAGGTAGCTGATGGTGATATTAATGAAATAATTCAAATAGATGGAACTGGTGATACATCTTCCAATGAAGAATTAGGAAGTACAAGAGATGTAGATGAAAATGAATTTCTAGGGATTATTGATGCAGGAGATCTGAAGGTACTTGAAGAAGAAGCTGACAGTATATCAGATGAAGATTCAACTGCAAACAGTAGTGATAATGAAGACCCTCAAATAGACATTGTAGAAGAGGTGAGGATTCTGAGCTGAGACTTTCTTTATTAATTTATAACATTTGTGCTTTAGTATTCTTTGAAACCAAAAGTTATAACAAGATTAACCCTTTCTTTAATCTTTTAAAATGAGACTTATTTTTATGCTGGGATTTAAATTTTCAATCTTAAACTATAATTTGAACAAGAATTAAACATTTAAGAATCAGCTTTGGTATTTGTTGATCCTAACTAGAGATAGTGGGAGGTTTAGGGGATGGGAGTGGAGGTTAAAGAAAGCAGCCTGGGTAGAAGCATACAGCATCTGCTCTAATTCTAATAAATGCAGTAAAATCTGGACGGGATGTGGTAATTAAGAAGTGCATAAGTAGGATTAGCTATCATTTATCGTGGCTTTACATATGAAGGTACTTCCGAAAGTTCATGGAAAAATGGAATTAAAAGATAATACAAATCTTTCCATGGACTTTTTGAAGATGCCTCATATGTGCCAGGTATCATACTAAGTCTTACCTGCCTTACCTTATTTAATAGTGTCAGTATTATATGGGTCTCATTACTATCCTCATTTTATGGATGACTAAACTGAGGTATGGGGAGTTTTAGTAACTTGGCAAAGGATAGTCTTATAATTATTATATGGCCAAGCTGGGTTTCAAACCCAGGCTATTTGACTTTTAAGTACAATTCTATTCTGCCTCTTGAAGTTCCTCTATTTCTATATGTCTTTAAAAAATTTGAAGAATTATGAAATTTCTTAATGTGATCATCTTTCATCTTTAGGACCCTTTAAATTCTGGAGATGATGTTAGTGAGCAGGATGTACCAGACCTGTTTGACACAGATAATGTCATTGTCTGTCAGTATGATAAGGTACTGTATTCACCTTTTGGACTTTGGATTTGTTAATTGCATTTATAGTAGAAGGGTATGTAAAATGATGGGAAACGTGATGGTGAGTTACAGTTCACAGTTAAATTAATCTCAAAACAGCAATTTACTTATGTAAGTTTTGAGGGTATATTTTGTGTCTTAGCTCTGTGCTGTGTGGTCTCAGCGAAACCAGAAAAGTGATACCAAAAAAGTGATAGTCCTTGTCATAAGGAGGTAACAGTCTTACTGAAGCAAGATGCTTCTCATGGAATAATGGAATGACATACAATAAGATGGCCAGTAAATCAAAAGCTAAAATATGTGACAGAGAAATCAAATGCTAAAATATGTGGCATGTAAATCAAATGCTAAGATGAGTGGCACAGACAGTAAATCCTGAAAGTGGCTAGGAAGTACAGAAATCATTCGTAGTTGGAGTTCTCCACAAATCCTTCACAGGTGATGTGGGGCTTTGAAATGGGCCTTGGATAATTTGAAGGATATAGGTAAGTATGGAGAGTAGGCATTCAGAGTAGAATAGTCTGATAAAGGCAGAGAAATGAATGAATGTAGTATGTATGAGGGACAGTGAAGAGACAGCTCTGACTTGAACGAAGGGTTTTCTTGTTGGATGTACTAGGAAATGAAGCTGAGTTGGTGGCAACAGAGTCTGGAGCAGACTGGAATATCCTGAATGCTAGCAGGAGAAATCCAAACTTTGTTTGAAAGACATTAGCTTTCTGAGAAGGTTATTGAGAAAATTGTAATTGGGTTTAAAAACTGGCCATGTTTGATTTGGAAAAGGCAAATGGTAAGAAAAACAGGGGCAGTAAAGACCTGAAATGACCAGAGCTGAGATCAAGGACGGCAGTATAAGAACATGGAAAAGTCAGAGGTAGTGGTGGAAGAATAGTGGGACTTGGTAATTAGTTGAGAGTGTCTCTCAGGTTTCAAGCCTAGAGGTTGTTAGTGGCAATTTAACTTTGTCAACTAAAAAATAATACTGCTTTTATTCTCTTTTTAAAACATTATAGCTGTGATTATGTAGTAGAAAGGGAATTTTTGTCCTTAATTCATGAATATTTGCATCTTTTTAAAAACATCTTTGAGATATAATTAACATACAGTACAATTCACCTGTTTAAAGTGTACAATTCAGTGGTTATTTAGTATGTTCCTGGATATGTGCAACCATTATCAGTCAACTTTAGAACCTTTTCATCACCTCAAAAAGAAACCCCATACCCTTTAGTTCTCACTTTAGTATCTCCCTGTTTCCCCTACTCTCACTTGTAGGACTAATCTACTTTCTGTTTTTTGGATTTCCCCATTCTGAGTTTCATACGAAAGGAATCATATGTATGGTCTTTTGTGACTGGCTTTTTTCACTTAGCACAGTGTTTTCAAGATTCATTCACATCGTAACATGTATCAGGACTTCATTCCTTTTCATTGCCAAATAATAGTCTATTAAATGGATATGCCACAGATTTCATTTTTCTATTTGTCTGTAGATGGATATTTGGGTTGTTTATATTGTAGGGAAGAAAAAGTAGTATCTTTTCCTCACCTATTGCTAGTTTCATGACTGATGCACCTATAATAAAAACAGATTAAAAGAGAAATGCATACAAGTGTATTTAATATAAGTTTTACAAGACATGGAAACGTTTGGAAATGAAGACCCAAAGAAACAGAGGAAACAGTATTTTTCTGGACAGTTGTGCAGAAGCATGATTGGAGGAAAAAAGGTTATGATCTAATGGTAATAAACTGGGGGAACTTAGTAAGACCTGTTGGTTCAAATTCTTCTCTCTGCCCTTATATTTTCAGAGATAAGGACATTCCTTTCCTCTGGGCACCTCTGGAATAAAGGTTTTATGACTTACTCCAGAGGAAGGTCAATTCTTTTGTGGCCTGCTTCTGGGGAGAGTGGCAAGGGGAAGGTCAAAGAGAACTTCTTGCTTCTGCTGTTTTCTCAAATGCCAATGTGCCATATTTTGGGGAAACATGTCCTGAAACCCATAACTACCCTTTGGCTATTATGAATAATGCTGCTTTAAATATTTGTGTACAGGTTTTTGTGTAGACATGTTTTCATCTGTTTTGGTATATACCTAGGAGTTGAATTCCTGGGTCATATGGTATTGGTTTGAGGAGCTACCAGGCTGTTTTCCAAAGTGTATGTACTATTTTACATTCTTACCAGCAGTGTTTGAGGGTTTCAGTTTCTTTGAAACCTTACCAGTACTTATCTGACTTTCTGATTCTAGTCATCCTTATAGGTGTGAAGTGATATCTCACTGTGGTTTTGATTTGTGTTTCCCTGATGACTAAAGTATATTTACATTTTTAGCCTTTTTTCAGCCGTACTTTAAATATAATTGGGGTGAACAAAGGATAGCATTTTGAATTGTTATAAAAGCAAATTCTTTTCTCTAAAAAGAAGATTGCTTTCTCCCCTATAACATTTTATACAGATAGAAAATGGTGACTTAGATGCTGGTAAATATAAAATAAGGAGTAGAGGATATAAAAGGGACAGTTCTTATTTCAAAACTTATTTTAGTTTCTTACGAACAGTGTATTACCTTCTATGAAGGAAACATTATAAGGCACTAATGATACATGCAGTCCATAAAGTCTCAAGGAATTTTCTAGACCATTATGGATATAGTATCCTTTGTTTGCTGCATTGTGGGAGACAGCTTGTAATTACATAGTGTTTTGATTTTTTGGAGTGTTTTTTTTTTTCCTTTTTGTCTTTTTTTGTGTCCGGCAATGGATTGCCACCCTCAGTGTCGCGCCCGGACCGGACCGGGACCGGCAACGGGATCGCAACCCTCGGTGTTGCGCCCGCACCTTGCTCAGCCAGTGAGTGGGAACCGGTCTGTATGTGGGATTCGAACCCTCGGCGGGAGCACAGCCGCGCTCCCAAGCGGCGCACTGTAGCAGTGTGCCACCAGGCTGGCCCTGTCTTTTGCTTCTTACAATAACATTATGGGGTAGATAGAAGCAATATTCAATGTATAGTGTTAACAAATCTAGCTGTCTGAGAGTACTAATTAGTGAATATTTTAAGAGCAGTACTAAAAAATTAATGGAAACCATGCATTTGGGAACCATTGGAAAATTTTAAAAAGGGAATAATGAAGTCAGAAGATAGCTGGCAAAGAGAATGTATCTGTAAGGTCAAAGTGGCCTGGGAGAACACTGTTGTTATAGTGAATTTTTATAGAGGAAAAACTTACTAGTTCTGGCCATTGGTTGATTTGTTTTGAAGAATATTGAATTTAATGAAACTCAAATAAATTGAAAGAACTGTCAGTAATCTTTTTAGAGCTTTACTACTCAGTGTGTTTTAAAGGCCAGTAGTATCAGTTCCACCAGGAAAGTGTTACAAATGCAGAATGTTGTATCCTACCCCAGAGTACTAGATTAGAATATGTATTTTAACTAGACCCCCAGGTGATTTGCATGCCATTAAACCTTGAGAAGCAGGAAGCACTGTTTTTTTTTTGTTTGTTTGTTTTTTTAAGTATATTTTATTTGGCTTTGATTAGCAGATGCAATTTACCTTTAAAATTTACCGGTTAACAATTGGAGGAAAACTTTCATCATATTAACATGTATAATAAAAATGGGCTAAATGAAGGCCACTGGTTTATGTACTGGGTGAGAACTAGTTAAATGGTATGGACATGCTATTTCAGAGGCCTAGAGAATGCCCAAGATCAATATAAAGATTAAAATGATAAGGATATGATGAGGAAAATTAATGTGAAATGAAACCTTTTACTATAGGTGGAAGTGTTCTATAGGTAGGATACTATTTATACTGGAATGTGAAAACCATTTGAATATCCTGTATGTTCATTTAACAGTTTGGCACACTTGCTTATAACTGGCTTTGTCTTTAGATGCTAGTATAATGATTAATTGCTAGGTGTGTAACACAGTCTCTTTTTCTCTCTAAACGTCTTATTTTGTTTTTGTATAGATAGTGCATACACATGATTTAAAAATCAAAACACTGTAAAAAGTTGTACAACGACAAGTCTGGTTCCCACTCCTTTACCATTTGTGCTCCCTGCTAGTAATTCCCTGTCCCTGTCTTGAGTGCAAATAAATAACTAGTTATATTAGCTTTTAAATATATTTATAGTTTCTTTACTCAAGTGTAAGTATAAAAGGTAGCACAGACCGCTATATTCTGCAACTTGCCCTATTTCTCTTAACAATGTATTTCTCAGATCTCTCCTTAGAGACTTTCTTCGTGCTAATATTTTAATAGCTACATAATATTCCATTGCAGGATTATTAAAATTTATTTAATCAATCCTGTACTGATGGGTGTTTGTGAGTTTTTAGTCTTTTGCTTTGAATTACCAGGTACATAAGACATATAATATATGTGCAGATATATCTATTAAATAAGTCCTAAGAAATGTGATTACTCGGTCAAAGAGCAAATGTATTTGGTCAGGTATTGCTAAAATGCTCTTCAAGAGGGTATTCCAATATATACTTCCACTACAGTGTTTTTGAGAGTGCCTCTTTTACTACAGCCTTGCCAGTAGAATGCAATAAAAAAATTTGGATCTTTGCTATTATGAAAGGTGAAAAATGCTATTTTGGTGTGATTTTTCACTTTCCATGTGTTTAAGGGCCATTTGTATTTACTTTTTGTGAACTGCTTGTTTATAACCTTTGTCTTTTAAAAAATTGGATTATTGGTCTTCTATTGAGTGATTCTGAAGAGTTCCATATTATTTTGGGGGAGATTAGCCTTTTAACACATAGAAATACTATTTTCTTGTTTGCTTTCATTGCTTTTTCTTATGTACAGATATTGAATTGTAAATCTTTAATTTTATGGTTTCCGAATTTTGAGTCATAAATAGAAAGTTCTTTCCTACCTCAGAGTTTTAAAGGGATTCACTCATGTTTTTTTCTAGTATTTCATATATATATGAATACTATAGATACTAGAATACCATATATAATTAATTAGTCTTGATTCATTTGGTATTTATCCTGCTGTGTAATGTCATATATGGTTTCAACTTTAATTTTTTTCCAGGTGACTACCCAATTTTCCTAACATCATTTGTTGAAAAGTCTATTTTGTCCCCACTTATCAGAAATGATTTATCATCTATTAAATTTCTATATGTAGTTGGGTCTACTTCCTGATTTCTGTTTTGGTCCACTGGTTTGTCGATAGGTTGTATTATATTGTTTTAATTATTGAGACTTCTAATGTCTGGTACGATTAGTACTTCTTCACAGATGTTCTTTGCCAGAATTTTCCTGGATATTCATGTTTATTTTTCCATATTACCTTCAGAATCAGCTTGTCTGGTTCAAAATAACAACATGTTTGTACTTTTATTGAAATCACGTTAGATTAATAGAATTTGACATTTTAATGATGTTGGGGAGGAATAGGTTGCAATTTTATTTTATTTTTATTTTTTTTCCTTTTTGTCTTTTTTACTGACCGGCAACGGGATCGCAACCCTCGGTGTTGCGCCTGCACCGCGCTCAGCCAGTGAGCGGGAACCGGTCTCCACATGGGATCTGAACCCTTGGCGGGAGCACTGCCATGCTCCCAAGTGGCGCACTCTCCAGTGCACCACCGGGCCGGCCCTAGGTTGCAATTTTAGATGGGATGTCCAAGGGGGGCCTTACTGAGAATGTAATAGGATAAAAATCAGAGGGAGGTAAAGGAACGGACTTACAATATCCAAAAAAGAATATTTGGGTGTAAGCATTTCAGACAGAGGGAAAAGCAAATACAAAAGTCCTGAGGTAGGAGAATGCCTGTGTGTTCAGGAATTGTGAGAAGGCCAGAGCAGAAAGTGAGGGAAAGTGAGGGGAAGTGGGGGATATTGGAGTCCATTGTAAGGACTTTAGTTTTTGGATGGGAAGTCATTGGAGAGTTCTGAGTGGAGAAGTGACATCTGATTTACGGTTTTAACAGAACCACTTTGGCTTTCTAAGGCTTTTCAATAGTCACTTGTGGTTTACCCAGAGGTAGCAATGATTTTATGGTTTCTTACCTTTTGAAGCAGTAGGATTTTCTGTTTTTTATTTTGTCACCGTCAAGGCTGATTTATTGAATCAAAAGAACAGCCAGCAGAATCGTAACAGATTTTAAGCTGTATCTTCTGACCTTGCTCAGTACTTTATTATGACTTTCTTCCTTCAAAGAAACACCACTCTTTAATTCCTGATAATATTTACCACATCCTCCCTGTTTATTCCTTTGCAGATATACAGGACTCTTTGCTGTTTTTGAACAATCCAGGCATGCCCCTCCTTGGGACCTTTCACTTCTGTTCCCTTTGCTTGGAATGCTCTTCTGTCAATATCTGCCTAGCCCCCTTATTCCTCACCTTCTTTAAGTCTTTGCTCAAATGTCACCTCAAAAGTCAAGCCCACCCTGACTGTCATATTTAAAGTTGCAACCCTACCTCTATATTTGTGATCTTCCTTTTCCTGTTCTATTTTATTCATGGCACTTGTCACTTTTTAATATTCTATATAATTTGCTTATTAGGTTTCTGTTCCTTTTTCACCCCCCCTCCCAATTAAAATATAAACTCTTCAATGGCAGAAATTTTTTTCTGTTTTTTTTTTGCATATATAATAAATATAAACACATATATATAATATATATATTTCAAACTTATATGTATCTCCAGTGCCTAAAACAGTATCTGACACATGAGAACTCAGACATTTGTTAATTGAATGAATGAACTATGTTGAGGAGGTCTTACTTTTATAGAACTCACATTTAGGATCAGAATAATTCCATTTGCTACAGCAAAGAAATGTAATTGATCCTTTAACTTGTGAAATTAATTAATTTAGATTATTTTTCTCCCTCCAGATTCATCGAAGCAAGAACAAATGGAAATTCTATTTGAAAGATGGTGTTATGTGTTTTGGAGGGAGAGACTACGTATTTGCAAAAGCCGTTGGTGATGCAGAGTGGTAAACCTTATGAGCTCAGTACATTAGTCTTTTAGACATCAGTGGGACTATATTTCATGCTATGAAATGTATTTTTATTTTAAATATAGTCCATAATAGAGCTACCCAAATTTTTAGTTCACTGTATGGAAATGAATAAAATTATAATTCATATGCAGATACAAATATGCAGTTTTACATATATTTTGTGTTTTGATAGGTTTTTTTTTAAAAAAAAAAAAAAAACACCAAAAACCCTAGTTATCTATAGTGTTGCAAAGCACAGATGCATTGGGTGTGATGGAGCATGAAGAAATGTCACATTTATTCTTGAAGTAAAATTTAAATCAGATTCCAATTCCCCTTCATGGTAAAGTCAGTATCAGGTATTAGATTGGGGCCAGGGTTCCTCCCACATCTTACCAAACCATGTTACAGAAGGTCCTGGGGAATCTTTTTATTTTATTTTGTCAATATACAATGTGGTTGATTATTGTGGCCCATTACCAAAACCTCCCTTCCTCCTCCCTCTCCCCCCTCCCTCCCAACCTCATATCGGGTCACTTGTCCTATCAACTTCAAGGAATTGTGATTGTTTTGTCTTCTTCCCTCCCCCCTCCTTCCATATACTTTAAATCACCTCTAGATTACTTGGAATATCTAACACAATGTAAATTTTATGTAAATAGTTGTTACACTATATTTTTTCTTTGTTATTACCTTTGTTATTATATTGCTATTTTCTATTTTTTT